TTACAAAATTAAGAAAAATTGCTAAATTAAAATTATTAAAGGATATCAATTACAATTTCAAAAATATCAGCAGATATCGATTTCTGCATGTATTAGAAAAAAATATTTTTAAATACATATTGATTTACTAGATTAAATGTTCATTATAAGTGTAAATATGTATATATCAATATATAGTAGTGTATATAATAATTTGCAATTTAGTTTTTGTTTTTTTTTTATCTGTTATCTATAAAGAATGTATTGTTTAGATCAGTATTTCTCAATAATTATAAAACATTTGATATTTATAATTATATTAGATTTAATTGAAAATTGATTAACTTTCATTAATAATATAAATCTTTTAAATTATTGGAAATATCAGAGAAATTGTATCTACATTAGAACAAAGATTGACAAAATTTCCGAAAATCTAATACTGATTTGAAACTTTGAAGATAATTTTATTTTACATAAAAACAATATTTACTAGAAGGATTTTGGCGAAAAATTAAGATCAAATTTTTGTTAAAAGAGACTGAAACATTTTAATATTTTATTTAATGTCATCGATAATCTAGAAAAAAATATAGCAGTATAATCGATATTTTTTTCTTTATTATTTATTTAAAGAAGTGATGAAAAAATTCAATTAACTTTTGAAAAATTGTTTGATGAAATGCGAATAAAAACTCGGGCAATTCTTGAAAACTGTTTGTTTGATGAAATATGAACAAAGGATATAGACAATTCCTAAAAAAACTATTTGTTTGATGAAATATAAACAAAGAACTTAAGCAATTTCTGAAAAATTATTTGTTCTATAAAGAATTTAAGAAATTATATCAAATTGTAATATATAATAATATATAATAGCTAATATTAACTTGCATATCGAATCATATATAATTCTTATTATATTAGAAAATTTTTGAAGATTTATTATAATTCAAATTAATTTATAATTATATCTTTAATAATCCTTTTCTGAAATTATTAAGTATTATTATATTATTATAAAATATCAATCAAAATATATTTAATATCTATTAAATATATTTGATAAATAAGTATATATTTATTTATTTATCTCTGCAATTTGAGATTTATTAAATAAAAGATATTAGATAACTTTTTAACATAGAAATATAGTTTCGATTTGATCATTTCTTCAATAACCTTCCCAGTAGTTAAACATATGATCAATTTATATAATATAAAATTCCATTTATTTCCTTTATTTGCATTTCTGAAATATATATAAAATTTCTAAAATATATATAAATTAATTATTTATTTCAAAGCAAATATTTAAAAAAATCATTTAAAATATTTAAGAATTATTTAAATAAACAATCATTTATATTGATTGATTTGCATTATCATTAAAAATCATTTTGTATTAAAAAATATTGATAAATAATTAAAAACAATTAAATTTAACAAAACTGCAATATTTAATAAATAAAAATAAAATTAACAAAATAATTTAATCTAATTCAATTATGTTTTTAAATAAAATTAGAAAAGTTTCCAAGATTAAATCTATTCCATGAAAATTTTAAAACAAATAAATATTAGTATTTTGTTTTTACTTGTTATGGTATGAAAGCAAAGAATAAACAATGAACAAATGACCTTGTGCTGTTTCAATCGTTAGAACAATTCGTTAGAACAATCAAAAACAATGAACGTTTAAATTAGCAATGTACGATTTCTGACATTCTGTTGATATTATCTTTATAAAAAATCTCTTTGAAAAAATTTTAAAAAATTTGTCTATTTGATATTTATATTTGAATAACAATAATTGTCTTATTTAACAATAAAACAATATGATATTTGCGTGGCAATCATTAAAATAATTATATAAATGTGAATTATAATCTTCAGAATTTATATTCTTATAAATTCTGAATATTTATAATATTATATTATATATAAATTTCATTAGAATATAATAAATTACGAAATATATAAAAAAATATCAGGAATCTTAATTTCATATAAAATTAAAATAAGAAATAAATAATGAAAAAATTGATATATTGTTTGAAATACTTTTGCTAAATTTGATTTTTTTCATAAGTTAACAGATTCTTACCTAGATAGAAGTTTCAAAATTTGCAATTTTAGATCTATCCCGCAAAATATCCACTGAACTGTGACTATGGATAAACCTGACTGGCATAAGCTATTTTATTGCTTTTCTTCCTAAATATATCGGACAAGATCGGGTTTGTTCGCGAAACTTCGTATACGTTAAATTCATATATATATAGTAAACAAGCAACATCCATTTTGTATGGTAGTATAAGCATGTGTGTTTTTCCATAGTAAGTTTAGTTTAAACCATAATTTCAAATTAATTTTTTTAATTATTTATTTATCTATTTTCGATATTTTATTAGATCAATCTTACTTCTGTGAGATTTGACTATTTTTGTATTTAAAGTCTGTTATTACTGTCTTCTCTCTATCAATCACTCAGATATTTTTTTGCTATAACGGCAATCCATGTTGAAAAAAATTCTTTTATTGTGTGCAAAAATGTGTCTGATTTTGAATAAGTAAAATCAAAATTTCTCTTTATCGAAAAAATGTTTCATAAATAGAGTTTTTATGAATAGAAAGCTGTTCTCGAAATTTACTTCGGCCAAATTTAGCTTGAATAGGATGGATAGGTAGATCAGCGGCGCGAGGATCTGTAAAAATATATATTACTCAATGCAGCATTTAAGTTTGTTTGTGAGATAAGCGATTTTACCGATTTCAAAAATTTTATCTATATATTCAAAAAGATTTTTATCTATATATTCAAAAAGAGGAAACACCACATAAATGAGCAGTTAATACATTCTTCTCGTTTACGGAAAATTTCGTTCATTGAAAGATTCGTTCAGAAGTCAACGATCAATTCACAATTTATTATCAATGCAAGCATGTGAATTACAGAGTTAATAGAAGAGATAATTCTATCTTTTCATTGAAGATATGACGAATTTCTGTCTTCACTGTCGCCAGTACCAATTTTACAATTGTCCCCATCGTCCCTGATCCCGATTCTGAAGAGTGGAAAATAGGGACAACCAAAATGACTATCAGAAGTAGTACTAATGAAGTACTAATTAACAATAACGTACATTTAAATTTAATCGTGGGATATGTAATTGCACAAATTCGATTATTTACGCATTCAAGAAAATAAAAAAACCTACGACAATATTCATTACAATATTCATTACAATACATTATAATATTACAATTCAAATAGAGATTGTTTTCAAATATAATTTAACAAAATATATATACTCAGGAAAGTATATATAATATATAATATTATATTTGAAAGTATTATTTTTCTATATAAACGTATATTTTCATTAAATTGCAGAATTATTAAAAATAAAGTTCATATTTTCATTTTCTATTGAATTCCGCTATCCTTTCTGTTACAAATCTGGAAAATATATCTATTGTATATTTCCTATTGAATTCTGCTATCTTTTCTGTTATAAACTCGAAAAATATTTCTATTGTAACACATATTGTAAGAAAACTATTGAAGATTTGTGATACTTATTATAACAAATTCTATTATACTTATTATATCTTTGTTGTATTTTTTTATATTATATTTATAATTGTTTATTAAAACTTTTTATTATAATTTATTTATTAAATATATCTTCTATTTATTAAATAAATCCTTATTTATTATATATATATATATATATTTTATTTGTTAAAATTTAATTATATGTATACAAAAAATTTATGCACTTGTAATACAAAATCTGAAAAAAAAATTTTTATCATAAAATTCTTTTTTTTTCAATTTATAAAGAAAATAATGAAATTAATCAAACATTAAAACTAATCTAATTTTCTTAATCGCGTATGAATTTTCCAGATCAAATATAGAAAAATAAATAGCAGGAGAAGAATAAAAATAGAATGAAAATTCAAAGATCAGTACCATCTAGATTTCCCCTAAACTATAGGTAAACAAGGATAGAAAATAATAAGAAAAAGAGATAAAATAATAATTAACTCTTACCATCCACCATTTCTTGAATAAAAAATCATTTTTTTCGAAAGATGATATTCAAAAGACAAGATAGAATTGAAGATTGAACAAGAAAAATTGATCACCAGCGCCAAAGACATGTTTCTAAAAGTATTTAAAAGATGGCAGTAATAATCAATTCTTACCATTTCTATCCTTTTATTATTTACTCTTTTTGTGTATATTAATTAATTTCATTTTGTAATATTCTAGAGATGAATTTTCCAATTTTTACTCTATCTCTGTCCTTTTTCTTATTTGCCTATACTTGCTCTGCATCAATTTATGCGTTAAAAGAACAGCGCCATATTTGATTAATAATTGAAAACCAATGAAAAAAAATTAAAATGTAGAACACTTACAATTTTCATATGATTTTAATAATAAAATATTTTCATTTTTTACCAAATTTTTATGAAAACGTTATTTTATTGATTGCATTGCATAAATATTTACATTTTATTTAATATTTACAGTTTCATTAGTAATATGTAAAAAATAATTGAATAGTATTATATTTAAATCTATTTTTATAAAAAAAATCTTATAATTTGATATTATTTTTATTATATTAAAAATATGAATAATTTTTAATTCATTCATTCAATAAGTCTTTTTACTACTTGTAACAAAAAAACCACGAATATAATCCAATATATATAATATATGAGAATATTTACAAAAAAAAATATCAAAAATTATTTTTAAAATCTGTTAATTTTATTGATGAGATTTCATCAATTTTTGTGAAATTAAATTGAATATAATTTTTCGTAGAGGGCATACCAAACACTTTGATTTTTTGAGCGATCGGTATTTCAGAACATGCAAAGTCCCATAAAATATTATATCTTTCCTACATTTCGTTTGTGCTAAAATGCTGATAAAATAAAATTCTTACATTAATTTTATCTAATTCTATTTAAAATAAATTTATTCAAGTTTTAATTTATATTATATCTTATAGTTGGTAATACTTCATTTATGATTTTGAAATTATTTTTAATTTGTTAGTTAATATCTAAAATGTCTAAACTAGGAAATATTTGTAAATAAATATACATTATTGTGCCAGAAATTAGGCATTTTAAGAAAGATATAATATTTATCTTTTGTTTAAGTTATTCATTACAATGTCATCAAAAACAGAGGTTACATTAGAACATTTTTATATATTTAATGGTACATATGCAAAAAAAGAAGGAGAGGCAAGTAAATGAAATTTAACTTTGAAATATTTACAATTTCTTAAAATCTTTATAAATTTTTTTTATATATTTTCATTTGTTTTCTGTAGGAAGAAAAAAAAATACTTTATTATTATCCAGAAAGAGATTTAGATATTCAAATTAAAAATATAGGTCTCAGTGAAGCAATTATTAAATTTGCACAGTAGGTATTTTAATTTTAAAATAAAAGTTTCAAAAATTAACATATATAACATTTCACATATTAATATTTCTTAATAATATTATATATCTTTTTTTTTTAAATTTAGGTCATTTAATCCTGGGCAACCATGTGATTATTGTCATACACATAAAACTCGTCAAATTTATTATCAACCAGAACCAAATTTTTGGATGGTCATGGTAAGATTTTATTATTATCACAAAAAATAAGAAAATACAATATATTTTATATTTTATATAAGATTGAATATTTAGTAAAATTTTAAAAATTTGTAATCATTTTGTAGATTGTCGGTGTACCATATATATGGAAAGAAAAAGATGGTAATAAATACACAGAATATCAGTATGATGAAGTTTCTAGCAGTGTTTGTCAAGCTATATTAAAACAAGCATATGTTATGTTTAGACTATTTATGGGATCATTTGATACTATTATTAATGAACCTGAATGTGGTTCTATAACATTATTAAAACATAAACTTGAACATTTTTATTCAAGGGTAAATGCAATTTTGAAGAATATTTATTATAAAAAATTTTTTTGATATAATTTTTAATATAATGCATTTTTTTACAGTATTTAATGTCTTTAAAGTTAAATAACAGTGATATTTTGGATGTTTTCCAAGGTTTACAATTTTTACCTCTTGATAAAATAACATTTTTACGAGTTCAATGCTTTATGAATCTTGTAGAAGCTATGTTTTCTCAAGTAAAATACACTGCATTTCTTTATAATGATCAAGTTGTATGGTTAGTAATATAAATAAATATTGTAAATAAATATCATATTATAATATATAATAGTTTAAATATTATTATATATTGTTATTTAGGAGTGGCTTAGAACCAGAAGATATGCAAGTAGTTTATAATTATTTAGTAAGTACACTTTTACCAGCTCATCTTGAGAAAGAACTTCATGAAGGTTCATTGCCCAGAAATTCACCTTCACCATTTACTACTATTCATTATGGAAAGTTAGTAATTACATAATTATTTATTTTTTTATGTACAACAACATAATGAATTATATAAATCTTATAGATTTGTTACTGGACCATCTAGTATTAATGAACCAAGTTTAATTGGAAAGTCTCCTAAAGTATTTATTAATTATTCTACAAAACCAATCTCATTATATTTGGTTGTTTATAGAGCATTAAGTGCTACAATATGCTTGTTTGTTGATAGTAAGTTCCTTTTTTTTTTTAAATTTTAAATGTTTTTTCATTTTAAAAATGTTAAAAAATATGTATAAAATCAATGTGCTCATTTTACAGGTAAAACAAGTTTGTTAATAGATTTCTTTAAAAGTCTTGATAATTTCCTTGGTCCACAATTGACTACACTTGTTAGTTCTGTTGCAGAACAATGTGCTAAACATGTAATAGTTTCTTCAGAATCTTGCAAATATTTATATTTTAATAAACTTAATTTAGCTTACAAGAGTACAATACATCCAGATAATAGACGATGTTCTAATGTACTTACAACATCTGAAGTATTGAGAGTTATTACTGATATATATAATGATACAAATAAGTTAGTACATGATATAGTAAAATTTTAATACAAATTTTTTATTTGATGATTAATAAAAAAATATAATTTTTTATAATTTTAGATTAAAAGAAGCTGGAGAAATTATCATAAAAACTATGAGTGATTATTGGGTTGTTGGAAAGTTATCAAATTTAAGAGAATTTTTCGTAGTTATCCAACAAAAAAGTGCAAGTATAATGGAAATAGAAGGTAATAATGAAAATATATTTTTTTTATAATGATCTATATTGATTTATAATTTAAAATTATATAATTTTATATTAGAATAATGTAAAATATAATTTTAATATTTTTGTTCCAGATGATGTTAAAAAACTTTGTGAAAAGGAATTAAAAAGTATATTTTTCCATTAATAAAAAAGTCTATTTAAAAGATTTATTGAGTATAAATATTCAATGAATATTTTATATAACGACTAAATAATTGTTTACTCTTTTAATTAATGTATAAACAATATGTAATCTAAGAAAATTAATATTGTAATTATAGAAATAATTTATACATAAATTTTAATGTAAAATATAAAATCTGTATATACACATATATATTATATACTTTTAATTGTTTAAATGATATATTTTCAAATAATATAACTATTATTATTAGATCAACTAAGTAGTATATACAAATCAAACAAATTTATAAATTAATTCATATTTTGTTTTCTTGTTAAATTGCAATATATTTTATATAGTTTAATTTTTATTAGCAAGATATTAATCAAGTGATAAACAATAACATGTGATCTTGAATAAAGATCTATTTTCATATTATTGATCGTATTTTTTAATTGTTAAAATCATCATTTAATCATTTTTAAAAATTCTTGTAAATTGTATAATAATGAAGAAATTTGAAATTAAATTATTATTAATTAATACTCAAAAATAAAAATTAACCAGAATTGAATCATATTTAAATCGTAGATAATCGAATAGTACGTGTGATATGCATAAAGTTGGCGCGCGAAAGCGCCACTAACATTCACACTCAGAATTAATCAGACATGTCGTCGGACGTATTTGCTGGATTAATGTTCACTTGTAAAGATATAAATAAACTGTTAATTAGTTGACCTGTTTTGTGCAATGAACCGTATGAGAATCGCAATATGTGCGTAGTTGTATGTACACAACCTTTTTTCCGGCAATCCAAAGGTAAGCATCAAGAATGGCGCGCGCGCGCGCGCGTGTCCAATGATTGACTTTGTCGTAGCAGACGGAACATATTGTTTCGTCGACATTTATTTCTACTTTAATGTGCGCAAATTTTCTTATTGCACGCACTAGTTGATGAAATAATTTTCCTTTAATATTTTTGTTATTTATTCTATTAAAATTTAATTTTGAAAAATTCTATCTCTATTTCTTGTCTCTTTACTCATTCTTATATTTACATTTACTCAAACCTGAACTTCCGATCCATACTCTAAATGTCAATTTGACAATTGTTGAATGATGTATTGTGATATGATATTAATATTAAATAAATTAAAAAAATTAAAATGGGAAAAGATGATTTGGTGAAAATAAAATTCTATAGTGAGAATAAATGAAAATTCAACCTCGCGATAATGCGAGGAGAGAACTGTACTTCATACTGATTATTGATAAGGACCATCAAATAGGAAATTTCCAGTAATGTACATTTTTCATTTATTATCTAAATCAGGAATTATTATTAAACTTTGTTACAATATAGCTACCTTATTTTAATATGTTTTATTGTATTTTTTTACAGATGAACGTTCCACTATATGGACTTCTTGGAGTTGTAGCTGCTTTACTAGTATATATTGTTGGAATTGGAATGATTGTGAAGTTATTCATTTGTCTACTTGCCTTAATTTTAGGGTATGATTCAATAGTTGTTAATATTTTAATATCAAAAACATTAATTTGTATCTTTCATTGTAGAACAATGACATGTATATATAGAACATATGGCGCAAATCTTCACAATGCAGTTAAATCTGAAAGAGAAGACTTAGATAAGAAGACTGAAAAGTTGCGACAGGTAAATAGATATTAAATTAAATTAATGTTTAAAAATTTTAATAATTTTTTTTTTATTTCAGTATATTCTAGATCTATCTAAACAGAAGATGACTTTTACTTTAGATAGAAGAATCACTGGCAGCCGTATTATTGATGACTCCCTGCAAGTACATAATCAGTTTATGAACTTTTATTATTTTTATGTACTTCAATGTAAAATAGAAAAAGTAACATAGCGATTTATAATTTTCCTCTATGTAGGAAATATTAGATTTTGTAATCAGAGATTATGTGGAACCATGGTACAGCGTTATTACAGATGATGAAGAGTTTATATATTCTGTTCGAGATACTGCTCAAAAAATAGCTATCAATATTGCAAATCGGTACATAATATATACAATTTAAAATATTTTTAATTTTATTTTTATTTTTTTAAATAATCTAATTTTTTAATTAGAGTGAAAGGTGTAGATTGGATACCATATTTAACCACACGCCTCGTAGACGATGCAGCTTCTCATGTTAGGCTGTATAGACAAGCAAGAGCAAGAATAAAACAACTTCGAACGAAAAAAGTACAGAAAGGTAGTACCAGTTCAAGTACCTCTAGTGGTACTCCTAAAAAGATACCAACGCACAGACGAAATAAAAGCGAAACCGATGTATTTTGGTATTCCCAATCTAAGTTTTACATTCCCAATTTATGCTCTCTTACTGAACCCATTGAAAGTAATGAAGAGAAAGAGGAAGAATCATTAGAAAAAATATTCTTTGATTTGGAAGTACAGATGGAGAATAATCTAATTTGTAGAGATCTTTTATGCACTAATAGTACTCAAGAACTCGAATTTCTGGGAGAAATATCTGAAATTTTGTTATATCTTGTGTTACCAAAGGGAGACTTTGATTGCTTAACTGTAAGATTTATTTTGAGGGAATTGTTAGTAAACGTGATAATTAAACCATTATTGGATTTATTTTCTGATCCTGATTATATTAATCAGGCGTGCATATGGCTGGTAAGTATGCTATACTTACCAGTATGATAATGTAAAAAAGATAATGTAAACATTATAAACGAAATCTAATAATTTCATTTTTCTAGTGTGCTAAAGAAGGTGGTTTACCCAGTGATGTATTTCTAACAGTGATCAAAGTAACGGATAGTTTAGATGAATTAACGGCGACGAAAAATATAGTTTGTAAAGAAATAGCTCATCTTCGTTCTAAAGATTCTGGAGGAGAGGATGATCTGTTAGTGAAACAACAATTAAATAGTTTGCTTTATGTAAAAAAAATTTTGGAAACTAGGATTATCGGAATGCAGGAAGGACTGGAATCTGAGGCTGATGGAATTGGTGCTCAGCCCGATTGGAATAGGCTACTGATACCCGGACAAAAACTAGTGAATTTACCTTTAGATGAACTATTAAAAAATAATATCGCATTAAGTTACTTCATTGATTATATGACTTCCATAAATGCAGAATCGTATCTGTTTTTTTATTTGAACATTTATGGTTGGAGGGTTTCAGCAGAGCAACAGATATCGAATATAGAGTTACAAAAGCTACACGCGACCCAAACAACTCCTAGTCTTATAGGTACTAAACGTAAAAATACAGATTTGGAAAATTTAAAAGAAGCAGCTACTAAAATCTACCAGCAATATCTCGGCGACAAAGCATCCCTCAAGTTGCAATTGGACGATGCCTTAGTAAAAACTTTATTGACCAGAATAAGAACTGAGTCTGTGAAAGAAACATGGTTTGATGATCTTAGAGTTTGTTGTTATGAAAAATTGCAAAATGAAGATCGATTTCTACCAGGTTTTAAAAAGTCTGTAGCTTATGTAAAACTTCTCGCTGAATTAGATCTTCTGAAGGATCCAACATCTGAAGAAGATACAAAATCTCTGGATAGTATTAGTTTGTCAAGTACGAATAATGAATTGGAAACTTTGGATGAAATATCCGAGATATATAAATCTGAAGACACTAAAATTGAATTAAAGGACAGTAAATTAAAATCTAACTCTTCTACAAGTTTAGCTAGTATTGTAGAGCCAAATGAGAACAGAACAATTGAACCTGATTCTGAAATTAACATGAGAACTATGAAAAGCATACGGAAGGCAGCAAGTATGGATACAGATCATATTACTGAGGGCAAAGACATTTCTTTTTTCTTGGAATCGAATGTAGATCAATTTGTTAAATTAGATGAGAATACTTATGATCAGAATGCCATTAAGAAGCTACAGCAAGGAAAATTTGAAATAACTGCAAAAATTATTGAAACTGGTATAGTTAACGATCGTGGAAAGACTTATGGAATCTATGCAGTGGCTGTAACTAAAAATTATGATTCTGGTTATCAAGAAAAATGGCACATTTATAGAAGATATTCTGATTTCTACAATCTTCATCAAAAAATTAAAGAAAAATATTACGATCTGGCAAAAATTCCTTTTCCGGCAAAAAAGGCATTTCATAATATGGAGAGAACTGTTTTGGAAAGAAGAATGTTGATGTTGAACGCCTGGTTGCATCAATTAACGAAACCAACTATTGTCGAGGGACATATGGGTTTACAAAATTTGTTATTAAATTTTTTGGAGCAAGGGGATTATGATAAAGGTGTTACCGGCGGACAGATTTCCAAAACAGTAAGTATAATAATAATTAAAATATCTTTTCAACTTGAAAATTAAAGATAAACAAAAATATAAAAATGTATACATTTTTATATTATTTTTATGCACTTTTTATAATTATATTATTTCTCAATTAAAAAATATAATAAAAGTAATTAGAAGTATTTTATTCAAAGAATTTCAATTACTTGATAAATTTTGCATATGCATAAAAACATTATAAAAGATATTTAATTCTTAATTTAATATAGATAGATACTCTGATGAATCCATTAAAAACGTCAATGAAAACCGTAACTCAAGCAGTGAAAACTATGCCAGATAATATGCTAAATACTGTAGATGGAGTTATGGATAATATAAGTAAACTTTTTGGCAATCCAAAGAAATCAAGCGCCTTATATGAAAACACTAAAGTTGGTGCTAGTCTAGATGTAGAGGTACTTATTTTTTCTCTTTAAATTATATTAATAATCAAATTTAATTATTACATCTTAATTATTATATTTTTTTCCTATTTTAGACCGACGATAACATTCCTTTACGAATAATGCTGCTTCTAATGGATGAAATCTTTGATCTAAAAGTAAGAAACCAATGGCTTAGACGAAGAATAATTACATTACTGAGGCAAATCATTCGTACAATGTTTGGAGATATAGTAAATCGAAGAATAGTCGAGTATGTTTCTTTACTAACAAGTCCAGCTAGAGTAGCAGGCTATTTAAAATTATTCAAGTAAGTAAATTTACATTTTTATCTTAAATAATTAATTAATTAACATTAATTAATTATATTACATTATATTATATTATAGAAATAGTTTTTGGCCCAATGGAGTTAAAGCCGACAAAAAACCGCCCAGGGATACAGAAATGAAAAATAGAACAAGAGTAGCAGCCAAGATTGCTCTTCTGTCATGTCTTTCGGATGAATTGAAACATATCATAGGCAGCGAAACAACCAGGAAAGGCCTTCTGAGAGTATTTGAACTTTTCCAACGACCTGTACTCAATAGGAGACTTCTGTACGTGCTTTTAGAAGGAATTATAGAGACTTTATTTCCTCAGAATAATTTGGTGGATATTTTCCGAAAACTTTATTCAGTTTCACCACGAGTACAAAACAAAAATTATCAAAAATCTTAAGATCTAATAATGTTCTTTGGAATTTAGCAAGTTCATGAATATTTTCATCGAATTCTATCTGCGCCAAAGAACAGGAATTAAATAGTGGAATAAGTGATTGTTATGATTATTCAACATTTTCGAGTGAGCAATTGATTTCTCTCTGATTGTAAATGATTTGGAGAAATCATTTAGACGAATAAATAGTTCACAGAAAAAATTAGGGGAACCAATATTCATGCCTAGGTGAATTGTAAAATATAAAGGACATCAATCCATGCTCATGTGAAAAATTATCTAACTTATTAAAAAACTAAGCGATCATGTACATTATTATCTCAGTCCATTTCATTGCAATAAGTGAAAAAAAAGAGAATAAAGAAGAAAAATCGTTTTTCAAACTGGGAACAAATTGAAAAGTTTAAAAAAAAGACTTTCTGAACCGTAATCTTTCTAATATGTATATTCAAGTAAAAAAGTGCAGTAATTCAGTGGCCAAATAAGTCTAATAAACGATATAATTAT